GTGTGTGTGTTTTCCTTGCAGAAACCTAAGCACTGGCTTCAGAGTTTGAGAGATTTGGAGAAAAATAACCCATTCAAAACTATTCTAGAAAATGTTAGCAGATATTCAAGTTAACAATAGGAGGGTCACTTTGTTGACTTGTGGTCTTTGAAAAAGGTAAATCGATTTTGTTCCCTTCTACAGGAACCTCAACTACCTCCCCTGGGTGGGGGTTGGCAGAGGTAGTGCTCTTGCTCCTCCAGTTTTGTAGAGACGTGTGTGCATGAGGCCCTTCCAAAATGGCCCCTACACGTGGTACCACAACATATTTCCCATCTTTTCTAGTATTTAAGGTCTAAACAGGAAAGCAACAACAAATACTGGTCTTGTAGTCAAGCTAGAAGCTCGTTATCAGGATCATTATGGCCATTTATTGTAGCAGAGACTGTTCTGGAGGCAATAGAGGTGGTGCTGTGACTATCAGATTTGTGATGTTTAAATTATTTACTGATCAGGTTGTTCATTACCCTGTTATCAGAATTTTCATTTTCTTTGGTTTCAGTGTTTTCTTTAGATTGGCCCTACCCTTGCACGTACAACATTATTCCAGTTTAGTTTAGTTTAGTTTAGTTTAGTTTAGTTTAGTTTAGTTTCGTTTCGTTTCGTTTCGTTGTTAGTTTAGTTTAGTTTTCTTTTGTTTTTTTAAACTGCTGGCAACTTCTCTCATCCTCTCTCAAACAACAAGCATTACATATCTCCTGAGTGGCTCTTCTGCAACTCAAAACACCCTGGAAGTCCGTTCTCAAAGCTTGCTGTCTGTGAATCAATAAATGGAGGGCTTGGCTCTGTAGAGGAAGGAGCCCTTTGCCCTTTCATAGATCTTTGTCTTGTGAAAGCCAAACATCTTTTCTTTTGTGCAATAGCTTCCTAAAGTACTGTCCATGACCAGTACCATCCTCACCGACTAACTGTACCAGCAAAGTCCTCTAAGTGCTGCTCATTGCACCAGGCCAAGCCTCCAAATGCCCTCTCCACCTTGGCCTTGTCTACAAAGATTATCCCCTGCTGTTCTCAGATTTTTTATTTATTTAGTTAGTTATTTCCATATTATTTATTTATTTATTTATTATTCATTTATTTTTACTGAATCCTATCTTGTTTTCTCCCGAGTGTGAAAGCAGTTTCATTTTTTCTCTTTGTAATATTTGGAATATTGACTGAGCAGTCAGAGAACATAGTCATTTGGTAATACTGTCTTCATTCTTACTTTTGTCTAAGAAATAGAAGGAAAACACTTTTGAACTCAGGCATTATGCCACAGGAATAAATTGTCAAAATTTTCAATCCATTAATTTTAATTAATTTATTTACCCTATAATGTTTTATTTCTAAGAGAAACTTTGAATGGTACTGGTCTTAAGTCATAGATCAATATCTTAACAATAAGTACTTTTATTCAATTATATTTCTTTCAGTTACATTGTAAACTCATTGTTTGATTGGAATTTACAACATCTCTTTATATTTACCTTAATATCCTGTAGCTAGCTTATAAAAACCTTCTGACAGGAGCTATTTTGGCCAGAGAGTTACTCTATCTATGTACAGTCACTTGTTTATAAATGGCACCATTTTATAATGATAGTAGTGCTGAATCACTGGAAACTTATTTAAGCAGAAGATAAAAATAATTTTTGCATGAATTCTTTTTGTTTCTTAATTCTTTGATTTATTTTTATTTTATGTGTATAAGTATTTTGACTGCATCTATGCAATTGCACTCATGTGTACAATGCCCCCTGGAGGCCAGAAGAGGGTGCTGGATCCCCTGAAAGTGGAGTTAAAGATGGTCGTTAGCCACTGTGTGGAGGATAGAAACTGAACCCAGGTCTTTTGCAAGAGCAGTGCTTTTAACCACTGAGCCATCTCTCCCACCCCAGCTTTTGCATTACTTTTTTGTTTGTTTGTTTTTGTTTTGTTTTGTTTTTCTTTTTGTTTTTTGGTGGTTTTTTGTTTTGTTTTGTTTTGTTTTTGTTTTTGTTTTTTTTGAGACAGGGTCTCCCTGTAGTCACAGCTGGCCTAGAACTCACTATGTAGACTAGGTTGGCCTCCATCTCACAGAGATAACCCTGCCTCTGCTTTCTAAGTGCTGGGATTAAAGGCCTGGGCCTAGCTAATTCTTAATAACTACAAGAATGATCAAAAGATCTATACCGATACTCTTTTGATCTGCTATAAATTATATTTGGAGAACATATTAAATCCATATTACTTCTAAATTAAATTAGATTTAAAACAAAAAGCATCTGACAGCTTATATACTTAAATGTATTCAAGGAGGTGTGCTTCATGTAAATTTCCCAATCCTTATGCCATTCTCATATTGAGAATTGCTGCTTGAACTCTAGCCCATGTCTAAAACCACCTACATTCAAGAAAGCCACTGTTTATTCTCAGCAACAATGATTTCATGTGATAATCACAAACATATTTATGCATGTTTATTTGGTATTTACTATTAATCCATAGATTATTTATTTGATATTTAATATGTACATTTTATATTTAACTCAAAATAAACTTTAAAATTTGTTAAGTTGTTATTAGATATCTAAATAGACATAATGCATCTCAACCTAGGGTTATTGAGTATGTAGAACACAGTTATTGAAATGTGAACTGTTTAGCTAACAGGCCAATGTATGTATAATTGTTCTAAATTTATCCTCACTCTGAGTTAGAGACAAAAAAAACTGAAAAATGCATCCTAACCTTCAGGGCATTTATAGACTTGTTAGAGTGGGAGTTTAATCATTCTGGAAGCATGCCTCTGGGGCCTAGGTCCCGCCTTCTGGAAAAGTGACTCTTTTAAGCTTTAGCAATTAAAATGCAGGTTAAGCTCCTTTTAGATGACATGAATTAATACTGGTATGCCTGGTTCTTCCAGAACTAGTTAGAACATGTCTTTCTGGTTCTTGGAAGTAGAAGGAACTGCAGACCTGCTAGATCATGTCAGAGAATAGTGAGTCGCCCATGAGGAATTTATGGGATGTCCAGGCTTCTGAAAACTCTCAGACAATAGCTTGGAAGAAGAGATTGAAAATGTGTGAGTAAAAGACAGAGGAAATGCATAAGGCCTTCATGGAGGTGGCTGAGAAGTTTCTCTCAGGAGGAAGATCGTTCCTATACCCCCTCTAATTGGAATCAATGGGATGTTCATTGAAACAAAATATTTAGCTTCCTGGCATGGTACATCATCATCTTCAGATTCTTAAGCACACGCGCGCACACGCACGCGCGCGCGCACACACACACACACATACACACAACCTTTCGTTTTAAAGAAACTGGAATGTAAGAGACCAGCTCACTCAGTCTCCACCAAAATTCTATAATCCTTTAGGAGACTTTACTTTTAAGGATTTTAGGCTTTCCAAAAAGGGTTATAGTTTTATTTTATAGTCATTTCTAAGCCTCACTTAGGGATAATGAGGACCTGAGAATTCTTTAAGAGCTATTAGAAATAATTCCAACCCTAATCATCCTTTCTTGTTATTAAGAGTAAGAAATTGTGAATATTCATCTCAAAGTACAGTCCCATCTAAAGTAATGGTACCAAGATTAGATTCTATTTAAAATAATACTATAAAACCAAATTGAAAGGAAATATGCCAAAATACGAAATGTTCTGAAGATTAAAAGGGCAGAAGTAAGTTATTGTTGTGTTATTTTTCCTGCAAAGAAATGAAAAAAACATAGATTCACTCTAGATAGGGCAATGATCAATCAAAGAATTAATTCTACCTAATCCAGCTTGGTACACAATAAGCTTATTTGATTTACAGGAACATATGTGAAGGATGACTTAAAGGAGCATGGATAACCCACAATATTTATAACTTTAGACCAATTAATACACTGCCATATGTAACTTTAGGAAATATAGATCCTAGATCATCCTATGTAAATATCATATAACTAAATGAATATATCCGTATGTGTGTATACTCAGTTCTGGAAACTTTGTGGGCAGATAATAATAATAGCTATTTAGTAGAGTATGAAAAGGACATAATGGAGATTATGTGGGTTTCCAAGATGTGACTAATCACTGGAAAAGCTAAAAGCAACCACAAATAGTCCAGCTTTGAAGGCAAGGCTCTCAGTTCCTTGTTTGTTCTTCAAAATTCAGAGTAGAAATTAATCCTCCTTTATAGGCCTATTCCCTTAGACCATGCTTCCTTCTTTCTCTCCATCCAAACAAAACTCAAATCCATAGCTATCAAATAAAGTAATGTATCTATTTATTATGCTTCTTGCTAGCATGTTGGTTACTTTCTGAAATATTCTTTGTGTGCAATTACCTGAGAGTGTTTTGAAGAGGATTGGAATGATCCTTCCTGCACACTAACTTTAAAGGAATAGCAAAATCAATACTCAAGGACTTGTGATTATTGAATCACAAACATCATATAGAAAATACATACGCTTGGGTCCAAACTAGACCTACTGAATGAGAAATGCTGGGGTGGAGTCCAGGTGTAAGCATGCAACAGAAACTCATGGGGATGCCAATAATTGAATGCTGGGAATGCCATTACATCTTACAATGTTTCTTTAATTAAAAACACTTATGAAAATATCTGCTTTGCTTTCAAAGAGTTTTTTTTAATAAGGCCAGAAGAAGTTGGGTTAATTCTAATGTGTTTATATGTCAAAGCAAAAAAAAAATATTCCAAAGAAATCATGAAGATTGAAAGAACCAAAAATTATCTGTTTTGAAGACTGTTAAGAAAGCACCCGATATCGAGCTTCAAAACTATTCCTTTTGGGGGGCTGGAGAGATGGCTCAGCAGGTAAGAGTACTGGATCCTCTTCCAGAGGTTGCAGGTTTGGTTTCCAGACCCACAAGACAGTTCACAACCATCCTTTTCTCCACTACCAGAGGATCTTGTGCTCTCTTGTGGCTTTTGTGGGCAGGCATTGTACAGCATGGGTGCACTTACATGCATACAGGCAAAATACTCATACACATACAAATAAATAATTTTTAATGTATTCCTTTTTCATAGGATGTGCAAAAATTATCAAATAGGCTGACTCTACTATTTAAAAAAATATTTTATTTATTCTCAATTCGTTTTTAGATCTATACACTGTACTTTGGGCTTATCCACTCCTAGCACCCCTTCCTACTCCTAGAGGTCTTTGACACATCTCCCTCCCACCTTCATGTTTTCTCCTTTTATGTTTTGTAAACCACTAAGTCCAATTAGAGCTTCCTGATGGAATATTGCTTGGTCATACTAACTTGATATTGTACAGGATTTATGCCTGTAGCCATAGCAACAGGGAGCTTCTGAGCACAAAAGCCATGCCAAGCCAGAAAGACAGCATTTCACAGCACCCTCCCCCATCCTCTAGCTCTTACATTCTTCCTCTCCCCTCCTCCATGATGTTCCCTGAGCCTTGGTTTATAGATGCACCGCTTAGGGTTGAACATTCAACAGTCAGTTATTCTAAATACTTTGACTGGTTTTGAGTTTCTGCATTAACTGATACTCGGTGAAGAATGAAGCTTCTCTGGTAAAGGTTGATAGTAATATAAACATAAATACTTAGAAGGCAGTTTGACAAAATGTCCACTTACCTATTTGGTAGCACTTGGTTTATAGATGCACCGCTTAGGGTTGAACATTCAACAGTCAGTTATTCCAAATACTTTGACTGGTTTTGAGTTTCTGCATTAACTGATACTTGGTGAAGAATGAAGCTTCTCTGGGAAACGCTGATAGTAATATAAACATAAATACTTAGAAGGCAGTTTGACAAAATGTCCACTTACCTATTTGGTAGCAGCTCCCCTTCAGGGTCTATGATTTCAACCAAGTTTACAGTACCAGGCATAAGTTCCCTCCCATGGAGCAAGCCTCAAATCCAGTCAGAAATCAATGGGTAGTCCTCCTGATATCATGCCACTATTGTACCAGTGGGCATCTTACCCGGCAGATGTGTATTACAAAATTCAGGGTTCACTCCTGGATAATACCATTGTGACTGCCCCAGTGGCCTTCATAACACTTTCTGGCACTGTGAAAGTTACGCAAAAGGAACAAAGTTTTCAGGTCAACTCCAGATCGATTTCTCTATGTTCTGCAATCAAAGTCTTCCGTGTCTTCTGGATAAGGTCTTCATCTAGTTATGGTTAGCAACCAAGAGAAATGGAAATAACCTGTATTACTTCAGAGGCCTCTCGAGCCTCTCTGATAAACATCTCCTAGGGAGGTTTCCCTGGTTTTGCACTACAATTTTTATATAAACGCCTATGGGAAACATTTTCCATTCATGTAGGGTATTTTTTCACATTTTCTTTATCAGTGTAACCAAAATTCCTTCTGACTTTCAAATGGCTGGTGTGCATAAAATACTGTACAGGAGTACAATATGGCACACTATGAATTATCTACATACTGGTTCATTATTTAGAATTATTCTTGATTGAAATAGGAAAAAGCACTAATGGGCATTGTTCCCCGAGACTACAGACTGCAGTTATAGAATATACTGTGGTGAACAGCCAAGAATTCTCTCCCAACACTTACCACAACTTCTTTATTAGAAATTTTGTAGGGCTGGAGAGATGGCTCAGCAGTTAAGAACACTGACTGTTCTTGCAGAAGACCCAAGTTCAAATCCCAGCACCCACACGGCAGCTAACAACTGTCCATGACTCCAGTTCCAGGGGATCTGACAGCCCCTTCTGACCTCTGTGGGCACAGGTGCACTTACCTATATGCAGGCATAACACTCATACACGTAAAATGAAAATAATAAAAAATATTTTTAAAAAGATATTTTGTAAATTTTGGGTCTGGAGAGATGGCACAGCTGTTCCAGTACCGACATGGAAGCTAAGAACTGTCTGTAACTCCAGTTCCAGAGGGTTCAACACCATATTCTACCCTCTGCGGGCATTGCACAACATAGATGCCCTCACATACATGCAGGCAAAACACTCATACACATTAATAATAAATAATAATAACAATAATAAAATATTTTAATTTTTGTATGTTATTATATATATGCATTATCTGTATTTGTGGCGGTCAGAGGCTATCTCTGTGGTGTTATCTCTCTCCTATCTTTCATGGGCTCAGGCAAACAAATTCAGGTCTCCAGGTTGTGTTGCAAGAACTTTTATCCCTGGGCCATCTTGCCAGCATACTTACCTGAACTTCTGAGAGTATATCAACAATTCAGTCAGTATTTCAAAATTTGCATTTTGATTATAGTCAGTGTTTTAAAAATATATTTAAAAAAGTTTTTGTATATGAGTGTATTGCCTACATGTATGTAAGTGCACCCATTTCATGTGATGCCCACAGAGGTCAGAAGAAAGTGTTGGATCCCCTGGAACTGGAGTTACAAATGGTCGTTAGCTGCCATGTAGGGGCTGGGATTCAAATCCAGGTCCTCTGAAACAGCAACCAGTACTCTTAACTGCTAAGCTATCTCTCCACCTCAAGTATTGTCAGGTTTTTTAAAGAACTCCAGGAACATTTCAAAGTTAATGTTACCTTTGTTTTCAATTTTTTTCTTTTAATTTGTTGAATTATTTGTTTGGTTTTCTCACAAACACAATGAACACAAAAGAACATTAGCTAACAGATCTGACATTATGTGCTTCTAGTTTGAGACCAGTTTGAAGAATTTTGGATATAATTATATGTTGATTAGAATGTTATAAAGATATAGTAAGAGGCCTGAGAGATGGCTCAACACTTAAGAGAGTTCTCTGCTTTTCCAGAGGACTCAAGTTTGGTTCCCATAACCTATGTTGGTCATCTTACATTGCCTATCACTCTAGCTCCAAATGACCTGCTGCCTTATCTGGCCTCCTCAGGCACCCATACACATGTGAAATGCACTTTTACAGACACACATACGTACATAAAATTAAAATTAATCTTAAAAATAAGGCATAGTATACAGTTCTGGTAATATGGCAGAATAAAAATTTTCTCCATGAGATTCTAGGACGGAGAAGACTCAGGGTCTCAAAGAAAAGTCTATTCTAAGGCAAAAAAGTGAAAAATAGTACTAGGAATCCAGAAAGAACCGATAGGACACCTAAAATCACAAGAAAACAGAAAGTCAACACAAAAAGAAGGAGGAAATTGTCTACAGCTCCAACTTTGGCTCCAAGGCAGGAGGAGAATTTGGAGTTATAACCAAAAGGTAAGTCAAGAGAGGGCAGGAAGCCCTAGTGACAACTGATTGGCAGTCTTCACCACAGGAGATATCCATGGTACTTGGAAGCCTTGAATACAGTGCTGTGGAGAGGAGGGATAGTGACTCCACCTGGATGGCCCACGTCTGCTGTTCTCCTCCCTGCACCTTGGATTATCAGACACACTTGTGTACTAATTCTGAATGGAAATAACCCCTTCTAGATGGTGAGGGAGGCTCATAAGAAACGTATGGAAATGTACTTGTCTTGGGAAACTCAGAAAGTTTCAAGGTTACCAAGGCCTCTTTCCGAGATTATAGAAGTAATAAATAATAGCTGTGGGAGAAAGACTCCCCAGTAGCACTTCCAGATTAGGAAAGGAGCTCTGGGGATGTAGCTTTCCTGAGTCATTACCCATGCTGGGGTGAGGTTTTCAGTAATGCCTGAGTCACTCACGCTCCTGTAAGTAACTCCGATAATCAAACTGATTAATGAACAGACATTTGTTCATATTTTCTAAAAACACGTCACTTAACACAACTGATGCATGAGAAGACAGTGACATGGGCTAAAATGAGTTGGGAAAGAGCTAGTCTAATGCCTGAGAGGGCATGCAACCGACAAAGAGCTCCCCGATGGTGGAGGGACTGTGGATCAGTCCCGAAATGGCTACCTCTTATGTAGTATTTCATACAAATTAAAACATGCCTACCTGGAGGAAGGAGGGAAGCTCATATAACTCAGGAAGTAAATGAGGTATGCACCGCTCAGGAAGCTTCTGAGATTCACATGGTTCACATGGCCCCTCCACAAGGTTATGAAAGCAACAACTAACTGCTGCAGAGAGCAGAGATTTTTAGTTCGAAAAGCGCCTGAAACTTATGCAGGGAACTCCAGGCTTAGATCCTCGCGAGTCACCCCTGCTTGTGTGGTCTTCTCAGTGAGGCACCTGCTTTTGAGTGACCCATGCACCTATAAGTAGCCCCTCACCTGTGCTCTTGTAAATATCCTGATAAAGTACATGGTTCTATGAGCAAGACATTGGTGGAATAATTTCTTTGGTCTGTCCTCGGTGCCCTTCTGGCTGAGTAGACATTTGTTCATGTTTCCCCAGGAAAAGTCATGCTATACGACTTTGTGATAGGGGTACGCTTCTTTCTTTAGCTACAGTTGCATTCTCCCCAAAATGGATAAGAAAACATGCAACTTAGAATATGATGGCTTAATGTGGAGAGTGCCAATCATCTCAAGGTGGCCATCTTCTTCTTTATATAGGCTGACGTCCCATGCTCTTAATGAACAGAGTCTGCCTTGCAGTTTGGGGATACCAAGAAAATGGTTAATGAACTGGACAACATTGAAATCCATGAAAGTATTCCCTATGGGACAGGATCAAAATCAGGCTGGTGGCTGCTGCAGGGTCTCTGTGATGGCTGAGAAGACTTGCTATTGGGGCTCATGAGTCTGACCGGACTCATTGTGCTCACGAGTCTGCTATTGTGCTAATAGCAGAAAGGAAGGTAGAACAAGGAAAAGACATGCAGTAGCTTTTTGATGCGTTGGTCTCCAATTTATCAGGGTAAAGGCAGCAAAGGAGGAGAAGATGGAGGCAACCTTCTGCCACATCTTCCAGTTGGCAGTATGCAAAGAAAATAGTAAAAAATAGATCTGTCCTAAAGAGCCATTCCTGGAATCCAAAGACTTGGAACCCATGGAAGAATTGGACAGTGAAGAGGGAGAGGGTGAGGTGTAAGTGATAGGAAATACTCCTCAGGTCTGACTTTTAATATAGAGGAAGGAAAATCTTGATTCAGCATACAGATGGGAACCTTAATAATGCTCATTAGAGGAGACTGTGATAATCAGGGGATATTCTGTGCCTGACCTGCTTGAATTGGGAGATAATTAAAATTTCTAAATTCATTATATTATTATTATTATTATTGTGTTCATGATATGTGTATTTGGCAGCATGTGTCATGGTGTACATGTGGAGGTCAGATGACAACTATGTGGAGTAAATCTTCTCTTTACACCTTTATGTGGGTTCCATGGATTCAACTCAGGTTCTAGGGCTGAATGGCACACACTCAAGCTGCAGGCCATTTCACTGGCCTGGGAACTATGAGCAATGAAAGAGCCTCTCACAGCCTAGCTCATGAGAGTGTGGAGCATGGGAATAGACGGGATCAGTCTGAAGGCCACGGACATAGGAAAACTGAGTAACATAATTACCCATTCTTCTGTGGGGAATAGGCAAAATAAGCTGAGGAGATTTAAGGGGAACCAGTCTCTAATGTCCCTCTGAATATCATGGACAGACAACAACACTAAGAAACACTCTTCAACATGGTATATGTGGATGGAACCGTGTCCTTGCTCTGTTGGTGGTTATCTACCTAGAATGCTTGGATGTGGATTTACATCTCCACAGGATGAGTCACAGAAACATTTCCAACTCTATGACACATCCACATGTGTTTTATACACATGAAAAGTTTTTGTAAATTTTATGTGTGTGAGAGTGTGCATGCTCATGTGTGTACATCATATATATATATATATATATATATGTATATATGCATGTATGTGTACACACATGGGGAAGCCAGAGGCTGTTGGCTATCTCTCATATTACTCTCCACCTTTTTTCTTGAGAAAAATTCTCCCAATGAACCTGGAACTCACTTATTTGACTAGATTGGTTAGCAAGTGCTAGAGATCTTATCTCTATGTACTAGAAGTAAAAGTATATATTGCATGTTCGGTTTT